GCGCTCTGACGAGTCCTGCACTTCTCCAGGGCCCAACCAGGTCTACAAGCCTTGGTTTTGCCCAGAAGTTCTGACCGCCAGCCTCAGTCCAGGCGCTTTCCCTCCCATAATTCTCACCGGCCCGCTTGCCTGTGACGAGATCCAGGGTGGTCCTGTAAAAAGCCACAAGCATGGAGAGCCCCCCAGAGAAGGCCCATCCTCGGCAGCAAGAGGTCCTTGCTACACATTTCATGACAAACTCTCCCACCACCATCCCCATCACCACCCCCACCACCATGAATATTCGGTAAGTTCTTTGCCCCACAACGTAACACCCCACAAATTGAGAAAAATCTGCCCTGGGATTGGCAACCAGAAAAACAGCAGTGGGGCAGGAAATATCTGTAAACCAGACTTGGGTGCCCTTTGACCTGCAAGTCAATGCCCCCCAGTTTTGCTTCGGAGATGTAACCTGCTTGCTCCCTGCATAGCTTGGCTTCCCCTGCGCCCCTCCCTAGCAGTTGTGAACATGATCCAGATGCTTGGTGATGCTCTGCAGGCACTTCTGGAGCCGGTCCAGGGTCACCACTGCTGCAGTGTAAGGAGAGACGGCAAGACGCTCGGTCAGGTTCTGCAGGGCATCTGACCGGGCAGGTCTGTGGGGAGGGCAGCCCAGGTGCGACCCCAGCAACTGCAGGAGGCTCTGCAGGTTCTCCACATCATGGGAGATCTGCGCCACAGGCGCCTCCAAGGGGAGGCTGGAGAGAACTCCGTGGAAGAGCTCCAGGGCGTCGTCCATGGCCTCCAGGCTTTGCACAGGCAGTTCTCCGGGAATGAAGTCCAGCCCATGGATCTTCAGGCTCAGGGGAGGGAACTGGGGGTGGGGAACAATGGAAGGAGCAGATGGGTCAGAGTTGAAGCAGAGCCTGACTGTGCATCCCCCCCAGCCAAATAGAGTTGGAAAGGGCCGCCCCCCCACCTCCCAGTCACTGGGCCCACCCTCCAGCTGCTCCTGCTGTGAGGAAGTTTCTTCAAACTTTCCACCTGAATGTGCCTTCCTGGAGCTGAAATCCCCTCTTTGGGGTGATGCTAGGGCCGGGATCACGACTTCCTCCCTGTTTTTGACCCTGGTCCTCTTCGCCTGTCCCCGCCCGTGTCCAGCCACCCGAGGCCGGCCGTGTCTTTGGGATGTGCAGCTGCCTCTTTGTCTTGCTGAAACGCTGACCTTGGCAAACTCCTGGGCTCTGTCCAAAAAGGCCCTTTAGGTGCCGGTGGGGTGGGGGCCTGCATGCACTCCCAGCTTTCTTGAATGTTCTCCTCCCCGCTGCTTGGGCGGGGCAAGCCACGTTATCTCTGGCCTCCTCCTGCTGTACAGTCACAGCAATTATGAGGTAACTGAGAATTCCTAACGCTGGCCTAGTTAAGTGGCTGCCTCCCTCCCACACCCCTGTACCCTCCCGTGTGGGCGTGGAAAGACAAGTTACGGAATAACGGTTCCTCGTGCAGCCACCACCTCTTGTGTGGAAGATGCTCAACCAGCCCACAAGGCCTGGCTGGGCCTGGCCCAGCCCAGGCGTTTTGCTTTGCACCGTGGAGGCAACACGATTGATTCTACCTGGGAGTGTGGCAGTCTCGAGGATGCTCTTCCTACCACCCTGAAGCCTCCTCCAGCAGCACATCAAGTAGCTGGAAGAGGCTTCCACAAAGAGCCTGGAAGGAAATGCTGGGTCTGTATTCAAAACATGCAAAGTCTTTGTTGGCATGCCCAGGAGCCAAAGGATGTTGCAGAACTTCTCCAGCTCCAGAAGTGCCAGAGGAGGCAAAGCAAAGAAGTGTGGCTGCCCCACAGTGGGCTTTTGTTTCACAAAATCTCAGGGTGGGGGTGGGTGTCACTCAAAGCATCAGCAGATGAAGTTGCCCTTGGAAGATCTGCACAGCTCTGACGCTCAGGTTGGGATCAGCATGGAGCACCAAAGGGATGGCAGGGGATCCTGGGTAAACCCAGCTGGGCAAGAGGAGAATGCCCCAGCAGCCTGGCAACTTCAAGCAGCTGTCTATGAGCCCAATTCTTACCTCCCCGCCCCACTTACCTGATGCTCCTGGATCCTGGCAACTATTGTCTTGGTGAGACTTTTAGTATCAGCAATGACCTTGTCAATTTTCACAGACCGGGTGTAGAAGAGAGGCAGCCAGACCCACAGAAACCCACACACAGAAATGCGGGGGGAGCGCATCTTCCCCTTGAGCCCGCTGAAAAATGAGGGCCGATGATGAAGGAGGCTGCAAGGTGAGGGAGGAGGAAGAGGAGACAAGGGGGTCAAAGAGGAAGAAGAGGGGACAATGGCAACCCTGCCCTATAAGGAGGCCAGTGCTGAGAAGGCCAGTGGAGAGGCCAGGTGTCTGACACACTTCTGAAGAAAAAGAACTGTCTCAATATTATTTGCCAAAGAAAAGTCACAATGGAAAAGAAGAAAAAGGAAGCACTTGCCCCGTGTGGACAATTTGGCTGTCCTACCGTACTATATGTTCAGGTGTGCAGTTCTTTCGTGTCAGGCTGCAGCACCCTTCAGAGAGCTCCTCCCTAGAATCTCCCCAGCCCAAGATTGCATCCAGCCATTGCTCACCCCAAAACCCCCTCTGGTCCGGGCATCCCCTGGAACTGGGGGCCTGGAGGCAGCGAGAGCGGGGGAAGCAGCCTGCACGCCCCTCCTGCAGAAACCCAGCATTTGTTTCTCCACTTCTTGGGAAGGCACAGGCAGAGAGCTGCTTGGGGCAAAGCTTCGTCAGCTGCCTGCGTGGGAGGTCAGGGTTATGCCCAGCAGGGACCACACCAACGGCTGCCTGGCCTTGCCCTTGCCTCCTGCGCACAGGCTGACGGCCGAGACACATCCGAGCACCTCCCTGCCAGGCCAGGCGCTTGGGAAGCCTGACCAAGGTAGCCCTGCCAGCCAGGCTGCCCTGTGAAGTGGTGCGCACTTAATGAGCCCTGCCGACGGTTGGGGCAAGTTCCTTCACCTCGCCGCAATGGCAAGCAGAGGCAGCGCCTCCCGGGGCCTGTGGCCATCCAGCTGCGCTCGACTCATCCCCATTACATAACTGGGGAGGCAGCCTGGGAGACTCCAGGCAGCAGCCGGCTCCCAGCCCGGGCAGGAGGGCGAAGTGGGCCGGAGAGCCCAGCCAGCGGACCAAGGCCTTGGGGGCAGGGGGCTTCCTCAAGGACCGAATTGGGCCCCCCCCCCACCTGGTACTGAGCAGGAGCTTGCTCAGGCCCCCAGGTTCAGGGGCTGGCCGGCCCTCGTATAGATGGACTGGGTCACCCCAAGCTGTCACTTGGCCCACGCCCACTTTTCTCTTCCTGGCTGGCTGACCCCTAAGAAGGCGAAAGCACCAAAAGCCGCCAGCAGTGTTGCCCAAACTGGACCCTCGGAGACCGAGCCCCTCCCCCGGTCTCTCTCACACAGGAGGTCTTTGCAGCAGGCCCACAAGAGACACAGCCCCCCTCCGGGCATTCCTCCGGGACCCTCCCTCTCCCCACCCCGCGAGCGAAGGCGGGCTCCTGGAGGCTCCCCTCCCATTCTGGTGCTTGAGCTGCCAACCCTCGCGACCCCCTGGGCGCCCCAGCCCTGGAGGCAGGAGGCAGGGCGCATGCAGGAAGTCCCCCAGGGGAATGCTGGTCAGCTGCAGCCCGGGGCCCACTGGCCATGCAGCCAGAGGCTCTGGGCTCAGCCCCTGCCATTGCCAGCTTCTTTGTGGGACATGGGGTGGGGTGGGGGGCTGTCAGTTCCAAAAGATCCGCTCCAACATCCGGTCCTGCTCCAGTTCTGGGACCCAGGCAGGGCTGATGCTGGCTTGTCTGGACACCCTCCCGGCCCACCGAGGGGCTGCCTCCCTGGGGCAGATGCACGCGCTACCTGCCCCGCTGCAAAAGCAAGGTGGCCAGGTGGGGAGGGGGGAGGTGGGCTGGGATCCCAAAGTGCCTCTCCCTGTCAAGAACGAGTGATGAAATCCTGGCGTCTTTGCCTGGCGGCCGAGTGCCTTTGCTCTTGCTGCCACCACCTCCCTCCACCCCAGCATGCGGCCGCCTTGGCCCCCTCGGGCGCCACACATCGATGGCCTTGACCCACGCGGGCGGCCTGGGAAAGGCAACCTGGCCTCACGGTGTTCTCACGACATGCTTAACCGAGTTAGGGAAGCACCTTGTGGTGGCATTCTCACAGAGAGCTGAGCTTGGCTAGTTTTAACCGTGGTTTGTCTTTGCAGCTTAGTGCGTTATGCAAACCCAGCCCCATGGCTTAATCTGTGTTTCCAGATATTGGGCGAACCCAGAAATTGGGCTCAGCCCGTCATTAGGTATGGCGCTCCCCTGGCCGTGCCCCGGCTCCCTAACCAAGAGGTGCCTGGAAGCCTGGCAGGAAGAATTGGAGGAATGTCCTCTGCACACGCTCAGAGGCACTCTTCCTGGCAGCCAAACGACTGCAAAGAATTCAGCCCGCAACCGCTCCCCTCTTCTCCCCGCCCCCGCCGCGAGGAACCTCCTTGTCCAGGGCATCACTCGCTGTGAGGACGGACGGCTTCTCTCACCTCGGCCCGTGGCTGGAGCCCCGCGCTGCGGCTCCGCCCCGGCCTCTGG